TGGAGTGTTGGAAGCATCCGAGGCTCTCACCCTCAAAATCGCAATGGTCCCTGACTGAAGCTTGAGCATTTATTGGAAGCTTAAAGGCGAAAATGCATAGAACAGTCATCTATAGTCGACAGTTTTAGCCCTTGGCACCTGTCGATGGCAGACGGGATGACTGTGGAAGCGTCCATATTTGGGTACCTTCCTCTGCGGTGAGCCTTGATGACCCTGCTCATCTCACTGAGCTCCTTTATTAGAAACAAGGTCGGGAAAATGACTGGCATAGTTACTGCCCGTTCTTGTGAGCTCAGACACATTTGTCAGGCACCTCCAAAACAAAAAACGCTTGGTATCAGAAAACGGTTATCATCAGACGAGTTTAAAATCGAGGACTGTTCTCCAGAAGGAGAGCATAGTGGTGTAACAGAAGAGTATAGTGAAAGGGAATGTATGCCGAGAAGCGGTGTAGCGCTATGGAGCCAAACGGTCTGAACGGATCTTTTATACGCGATCGTATTGAGGTGAACAACCGCGAGCAGGTACTCAATGAGGATTCTTTGCAAAAACTTCTTGCTAGATTACCGGCACGGAATGAGTCTGAGTGTGTGTGAAACTCCCAGAAGAACTGATGTGCGGCTTTATCACGCATACAAGTGATTGCTCGAGCGGATGTGGAAAGTGGCGTTGATTACTACAGTCCTAGTTCAGTGTCCTGATCGTATACCACCGGATTTGAGGATCTCTCGGTGAAAATGTAGTTCGGGGGGCCACCCTATCTAATCGAAGTAGAGCTGCGGAAAGACACTCACATCTAATCAAAGTAGAGCTGCGGGAAGGCTCTTATATCTTATCATATCTTTCACTGAGACCAGAGACTGCGGCCTACTTTGGGCCTATTCGTAGGTTTACCCTTGTCATATTATTCTATGGCTAAAATGGCTGCTACCTTGCTGACTCTTCACTTTCACCAAACCTTCCTGCGACTGCCATGTGAGCCCTCGAAGAAAGGACATTTCAGGTATCCGATTTTCTATGGAATCTTTGCTTGGTATCCCTATCTAATCATACCCTCAGAGACTGAGTCTGGTTGTTGATTAGATATGACCGCCCTTCCGCAGCTCCACTTCGATTAGATATTGTCAGTTCGATTAGATATTATGAGTGGCCCCCTCGAACTACATTTTCTTCCCAATCTCTCTATCCCTGGAGTTCCAACACTCTACAGCAATACATCTTTACGGGAAAACCCTTGATTTTTACTTTAAGCTGGATTATATCTATACAGATGAATTTTCCAATCCATTGTACAGGCCGAATCAGCCACTTGCAATGGCCGCTACCTACTTTCCAATATCAACCACACCACATTTGAGCTTCTCATTTCAATCCATCGTTCCCCCGTCAACTGCCTTGGCTTGTGCCTTCAAAACAGTGTAGCGGGGAACGATGGATTGAAATGAGAAGCTCAAATGTGGCGCTGTTGATATTGGAAGTAAGTAGCGGCTATTGCAAGTGGCCGATTCGGCCTGCACAATGGATTGAAAATTCATCTGAATAGATATAATTCAGTTGAAGTAAAAATCAAGGGTTTCCCGTGAAGCAGTATGCTGTAGAGTGTATCTCCATTAAAGAGCAGGGTCAACCGTCAACGCGACGACGAGAGTAATGCCGAGAGTGAACGTACGCACGGAGACACAGACGGCTCGCGGGTGGCGAGAGTGAATGCCGGCGCGGAGAGCGGTGAACATCGGTCCAACGTCGCTCCAATATCGGTCCAACGTAACGGTTGACCCTGGGAGAGAGCTCGAATGTGTACCATGTGCATTTACAGCTAGAGCCATATGGCTGTTGGATGTACAAAGCGGCCCCTTAGGTGTTTACTTTACTTAGCAGTTTAACATTTCAAAAATTCGAAAATATAAGATTCTAGCAGTAGAAGGCTAAGCTTCGCAAGCTCCGACGTAAGTGCGATGCACAGCACTTTCACTACCCAAGGCATGTAAATAAATCTCTCTTTCACTATCTGTGCTTGGACATACAGCTAATTATGCTGGTTGACCCAAAAAGGCTTTCCGAATAGATGGTGCTCGCCTTCAAACGCCTTATGAGCCTTATCCCTAGTACAGGGTGACGTAAAGCTACGTCACTCGCATGTGGATGCTTGTCTTTCTATAAATTGTTGGTACATCAGATCAAAAGTTTGTCACTGAGTTGTATGCAAAGTTTCATGAATGTTTGCTCGGCCATGAAAGTGCGACCACCGTCTACAGAAGGAACAATCGGCATAAGCCGCTTCAGGATGGTAACCAGCAATGAATCCTTGTTTCAAAAAGGAATCGGAGCATAGGAAGTTCATGATTAATTGTCGTACGTATGTTCATAAGTGGAAGGCTCTCCCCTAAGAACAAGTGACGTTGTACGTCGCGAAGCTCTGGTAGGGGGACAATTTTATGGAGGAAGAGCCGACCCCTGAATGTGGACTCGGAGAGCAGGTTGCAGAACTTCGTCTGTGCGAACAGCGACATTTCGAGTGTTATAGAATTTCAGCGAATGTACTTGCACTGTAGCTCTAAAACGAATTGTGCATTACGGTAGAGGTCCAAAGCAAGGCGGCGGAACATTAGTTGCTGAAGCGTGGCCAGATCATGGCTCCAGTGCGGAGTTGATTACAAATGGCTGTCATTTGGGAATATGGATGTCATGTAATCAATCATCTAACCATGATACAGAGCTAGCCTTCAGTGGCTATATTCTGCTCCACGATCTGAAGCAGCGACTTGTGGAGCGAGATTCAGTGAAACCAACGAGCTGAGTCGCCCTTTTGACCGAATCAGGTTATTTTCCAATAAGTGGGAACTCAAATCCTTGACCTAAAAATTTCGTTAAAATCCTGCTCGGAGGAGGCACTCCATTGTTCCTTCATACTGATGGATAAGGATAAGAGTTTTCATGACACGTATCGATTTATTTGAAATTTTCTTCTGATAAAGGACCGGTGGAGTGTAGAAGTACTCTAAAGATGCTTTCAGATTTCGGCCTGCTGTGATCCAAAGAAATGGCCCTGAACTAGGATACGGGCATTCTTTTCTAGGCGCAAAGGTGTGACAGCCCAGGGTGGACGGCACATGCCATAAAGTGCCTAGAACGTAAGCAGGATGTGCGTGATGTAGGGCATGCACCGGTCCGTATTAAGTGCACCGGAAATGAGTCGTTTACTAATTATCTTGTCCATGGGGTTGAAGTCCCAAGGAGTGCTCTATAGTAGTAAGGATAAGATAATAGAGTGGCCCCGAACTGGAGTTTCACCTGAAATTCTTGAGTGCTATTTGGGTTACCAGTATAGTTTCGGGGTTATAAGCGCTTTAGAGGTATGTGTGTGAAATTATTTGTAACGCTCGAGCCATTCTTCAAAATCCGTTCTCCTAAAGTACCTTCTGCGCAATAAATCCCAAGCAAGCTCTTTTTGCTAGAAATCACAACACAACGTCATCTCACTGTCGCAGGACATCGGAAGTAGTTTCCCAGGTCGTCTTCTGGTCAACTGCTATTCATGACTGCAAAGTAGCCGATTGAATAAGCAAGCGAAGGAGTTATTAATCGGTTCAAAAAACAGGAAAGTATACCACTTTCACAGCTGGGAAAAGATCGTTCGAAGACTTTTTCTTTATCGGCTACTAACGACATCGTAAAGCGTTCGAGTCACCCTGAATACGATTACGGAGCCAGTCAAAACACTTTGTTGTAGAGTTACAAACAAAACAGTTCGCTTCGGAGAATTTGTTCATTCCAAATGTTAAGGATTAAAAATCTTTTTGAAGCTGGTTAAGTGGGGAGTGGAGAAGGAGGTGGAACCAGTACCGAGAAAAATCACCTGTAGGTGGGCAGCTTTCGGCTGTGTTGATCAGGAAAACTTAAGGTTCAACTAGTTATAATTAAAAGTAACGGTAGTGCAGGGGGGCCAACGAAATAGAGTAAACAAAATTACAATGAAGCACTCGAGATTTGATCCGTTTTTGATGCGCCCTGTGTTCCCCTTTCACTTAAAATCGTTATAGTATTCGAATGCGTTCATCCCAAACTGTGACTTGTTGGGGTGCGCCGACGTGCACTGCAAGACTTTCACTCTCATGGGCGAATCCTGAAAAGTGGCCATGCTCCATCACTATGTACCCACACCTACAGTGTAAGACCGCCATCTAACAGGTAAACACATATGCGGCACACCCGTCCATGGGAATTCACCCGATAAGGGTGCTAGGGCTTGTGGAGACAGCTTCAACAGCTTCAACAGCTTCAATTTCCCCGTTCGCAGCAGGCTGTTGTCTGGCGCCTCTCTCATCTGTGCGCTCTCTCGCCTCATACTCTCCTCTCCGCGCTTAGTCTCTCATTCCCTTAGCACAGCCGATTAGGAAGGTGAGTGAGCCCTTAACCTGAGCGTTTTCGACGGATTCTTTTCCTTTTTTCTTTACTGCCGGCCCATTTCGCACCAATACATTCATATTCGTGTGCAAGAAGAACGCCAGTTCAGTCTTGGGGCATAGTTTAAAAAGAAAACACCAGAATACGAGCACTGGTGTGTTGCTGCCCTCAATGTAAAAGCCAAACGCACACTCCATTGAATCTACGGCCGCAGTATGGATGCCAAATGTGCGGCGCATACCAGAAGGTGTTGTGAACATCGACCAAGTTTCTTATTTTATTTGTTCAAGCACAAGTGCATTTACACTGCCAGTAATTTTTAAGTGAGGAAGATTTCATAGATAATTTTTACTCGTACAAGTGAGCAAATAAATAAAAAACACATTGGTCAATAAAGATCAGATTTCCCTAGGTATCTGGTAAGCAGTAGGCAAAATGCATCATTTGACTTCCCTTCCCAGCCGAATGCTCGAGAAAAGGGGGTATAAATAATATTTTCAACATATCAAACGTGATCATGGACATAACGATAAATAATGTGGTAGACCCGATTGATGAATCAATAAATCAATAACGAGCAACTGCGTAGTAGTCTCTCATAAAACTGCATAGTTATTTGACGTGTCGACGGCTTTCTTGGTGGTAATGGAACAGTCGAGTAATTTGTCACGTGCAACCGACCGACCAATTCTGAAAACGAAAGGATCATTGTGCATTGGTCCTAGCAGGAAAAGCGCATTACGGTACCTGCTTTCGATCGCATGTCTTGTCCATCTCTCCAACCATCGGAAGCATGGCGCTTCCTTGAAAGCCGATCGGATTTTACCATTCATCAAACAGAACAACGCAAAGATTATACAGGACGTGAGCAGGGTGATCATCTCCGTGAACGATTCGCACACTTCAAGGTATACGGTATAACAGTATTTTGAGAAATCCAGCTCGGCCAGTTATCTGATCATTCACTCATCTACGTCCCAGTACCGACCATCTTTGGCTTTGAGTCGCTATTCAGAGAATTGCGAAAGCTCCATTCGAATATCGATAAGCACTCAATTGAGAAAAAGTCATTAAAATTTGACACTACACCTTCAGAAACCTCTGTGAGACGTCGTACATAGTTTTAGTTGATAGTTGGGTATTTATTTATTGTAATTGCTCGATCTGAGCTTGAGGAGATAGTGAACGAGAGCCGTGAAATTTTGCTTCAATGTCCTTAGTTTTTAGGACCCTAATTCCCACACATAAAAATTCAATTATTTAGTCTCTTGAAGGTGACCATTGGTCGAGCAGTAGACCAGTTCCGGGAAATCGAGCTCATATTGGAAAAATTTCATATGTTGGCAAGAAGAGTAAGCAAACAACAAGACGTAATATCTTACCCAGAACAACGATTAATTGCAGTTCGGTTACGGTAGATAGAACAGCTAGCAATCCTTGCGGTAATTCGACTATGATGAAAATGAACATGATGATCTGAAAAAAAAATTCGAAGCCAGTTTGGTGGAAAATTTGCAGACTTATCATGGGGAATCCTTCCCGTAGAGTTTTTTTCGTCTTTATTGCATTGACAGCTCCAGAAGGAGTATCGGGCATCAAGGAAATAGCAAAAAAGGCCGGTTGGGGAAGGGAAGGAACGAGCCACCCTACCAAAAAATTCTTTCAAATTACTGCTCCTCAATTCTGCAACGAGATGTGGGATTATTGCCTTCGAATATATTGGATGTAACGCATTACATTCGGTTTCAACCGCGGAGCCGCCAGCTGGAGCCCATCTGAAAGGCGTAACAGAAATGGGCCGATCAAGAGAAAAAAAAACATTTTGAGAGGGGAGAATCGATGGCTGGGTGACTCTAGGAGCCAACCTAGCCGGTCGCCTAGTTGGCCGGGGTTCCCGTTTTGAAGTTCTACCCATGCTTCATGCAACAGATCTTTGAACCCATTTTTAACTGTTTTTTCGTAGAAAAAGCAGAGTTGGGGTAAAATAGTGCCCTGGTGGTGCAATGGTAGCACAATTGCCCAGAAAAGCAAGGAGATCCGGGTACGAATCCCGGCTGGAGCGAAAGTTTTGCCCACAACTCAGCATTCTTTTCATATCTTCGAACCCATTCAGAGGAGCCGCTGAAGCGGATTCGGATTCATACCTGCGAGAAGTGCCAAAATCCGATCCGCGCATTTACAGAGCCCATTTCCCCAAATTGTAGAGGCCTGAGTTACTTCGAAGCATTCAAAAACTTCCCACGATCTGCTTAGGGTTCCAGTAAGTCGGAGCTTCTCAGAAAATCTCCCCGCACTCTCCACGGTTGAAGGAGGATGTTGTGAAGTCCCACAGGAACGATTTGCAAGTCTCCATTAAGGGAAAATAGTAGCTGTTGTGAAGCATTGTTTTTCTTGGATTATAAATGCGTGACGGAATACTTGGACCAGTGCCAAAACGTCTGAGCCCGGAATTTCTATTCAAATTTTCAAATATTCGTTGAAGGAATAAGGTTTTGGTGTATAAAAGAGAACAGTTGTGG